CATTTAGGCTCATCAAGCAGGTACAGCCTCCGAGTTTCCGTATCTTTTATAAACTCCGAAATACAAACCTTCTCACCTGTGGAAGGAAACCCATTTCAACTAGGTAACGCCACTAGGCCACTTGCAACCTACAATATAAAATGCTGAAGAAATCATACCAATTGAAGATTACCCGATGTGTGAGAGTCACATAACTGACTTTTGTTCGACACCATCCAGCCAGTTAACATCAGCTACTCGTTCGCGAAATGCATTCACTTGCAAATAACTTAGTTTTAACGGGGATTCCATCAACTCGCAGCTTCATCTACCATTAATGATATTCTCTAACTGAATACGCTTCACTAAAAACGCGTCTCAGTTAAGTTAGCACGATATTCGAGATGTCACAATATATTTTCTCGAATAAGGGTTACCCATCAGTTTGCTGATAATTCTTCGACAGCCCATAACCTATTTCGCTCTCATTTAGGCTCATCAAGCAGGTACAGCCTCCGAGTTTCCGTATCTTTTATAAACTCCGAAATACAAACCTTCTCACCTGTGGAAGGAAACCCATTTCAACTAGGTAACGCCACTAGGCCACTTGCAACCTACAATATCCCAGTTGAAGCCAGCTATCCATGATCTGTGCCTCTCCCTTTTTTGGAGAAGGGCTACTTGAGAAAGTATTCTTTCTAAACAGCAGTAATCAGCTGGCAGAGATGCTCTTGTCAGATTCAAAACAACTGGGAACACACGTATTCCCTGAAACTTCATCATGTGCCAGGTTACTTCAATTATGTCGGTGACGTTATTGTGCGGTAAGGAATCCAGTTTAGAACAAATACATGGCCAAGGCAATGGCCGGTGATAATTCTCGGCCACGTACTGAGCATGGCAAATACATGGCCAAGGCAATGGCCGGTGGTAATTCTCGGCCACGTACTGACAGGTGTTGCCTCACACGGCAACTGAAAACATCCCGAAGAGATTTGAAATATTAATGTAAAAATGCAGTATTGAAGCCATAAAAGTGACGCAAACACTGTAGGTGGGAAAGGGGAGTGGCGAGCAGTAAATTGGAACTAATCCTTTCCCGAGCTTGCATCCACTAATTCCATTTTCAGTGACAGCATCATCAATCATCATCATCGACAGCATGACATCAGTGTTCAACACCGACGCTTCACTGCCGTACTTCAGTGCCAGAAAGTGCCACTATCTCAGGTTAACCACTGATATTCTTCGTTTCGAAAATTTTCGTCTCTTGCGATTAGAGCGCTACTCCCCAGGGATTTTGGATGCTAACCTACTCTAATTCTGGTGAGTTGCGAAAAGTGCACTGGGTCACTTGGTCCACCAATTTTAGTTCTTACTCTCCCTCTCTTCCTCCGACCGTTTATCGTACAGTAGCTTGAAAGTTATCGAATAACCATAATTAGCGTGTGTTGATTGTACCCTAGATCAATATCGATCGCTAATTCGTTCACTTTCTTGCCGTTCACGGATGGTAATGCAACTTTTTTTAAAGAAGATAAATTACGAATGTTATAACTCCCAAATAAACAGATTCTGTTTTTTCCAGTCGACGTTTTTGCGAGTGAATTAAGGACCCACCTTTTTCACTTATCGCTTCACTGACTGTTTATTTTCCTGGGGCCAGTCGGTCGTATCATTTGGTATAGGGCACGGCTGTTTTGTTCATCTCCAGAGCTTTCGATGTCCACCACAGCTCTCGGTCTTTTCTCAGTCTCTTCAGTGTTTGGTGTTTGGGGGATTTGCGCGCATCGTCGTACTCGTTGTCTACTGGTATCATTTTCATGGCATCAGTCATTGATAGCGATCTCCATGATATCCAGTGGTGTTGTAATCGAATAGGAGAAGTCGGACGGACAGCACTGAATGCCACTAACATAGTTCCTTTCACATTTTGCCACGCTTCATCCACATGCTCACTACCAATACAGCATTGGTTTTCTGCGGAGATTTGTTGGGCCAGCTCAGGTCGATACTGTTGAGCTATGGTAGTTCTTCAAAGATTGTAGATTGGCATGCTTCTTGATGACTTGCGAAGGGTTTGAGGGGAAAGGACTTTAAGGTATTCAAGCACCATCGTGTGATGGGATTCAAGCTGTGTGACTCAGAAGGAACGGCAGTCTTGTGGCTCTTCACCGGTGGCTGATGGCCACGTGGTCCAATTGGGTCCACGCTTGATTTCCAGTTGGTGACCGCCAGGTTACGCTGTACGAACGTTCATGTTGAAAGTTCGTACTTACCAGAAACAGTTTATGATCAGCACACAACTAAAGGAGTCGATCTTCGTTGTCTGTGCGGCGAGCATCGATTCCGAATCGACCGCCCAAATGTGATTCCAAGAGCTCAGACGACCTACTCGAGCAATATATCGCCTACAAGGACCACAATGTGCTTTTTTCTTAACGGATGAGCCCGGATAGCTCCCTATAGAAAGTGTCCTTCTCAGCATCAGAACTGCAGTGCGTTGGGGGTATAAGCCGACACCATAAACAGGCACCGCTTTTATGCCGAGAGGTATTGAGCTTGACTGAACTAGATAACCTGACGGCGCAGAGACGACTGTTTACTGGGATCCAATCCAGCAAAGCGCGTTCAGCTCTGGGGCTGAGTGCAATACCCACGACATATTTTCCATCAGTCATCGCTTCTGGGCCGCCGGACACACGGAGGGAGAAATGTGAGAATGAGAGAATGTGGTTAGCCTAACCCGAGGATGTAGGGTGTGAAGCACTACTGTCTCACTTCTGATGCATCTACTCACAGCAGGTGCCTTTGGCGCAACACCGGACTCTTTGATTTCAAGAGTATGTCGACTTTGTTGAATGATGCGTCGGCGTTCATGGTCAACCGTAAGACGATCGGAGCGTCCGGTTTTCAGGGTCGACCTTTTCTAATCCTTCTTTTCTGCGAGGAAGCCAGCACCGCTCCTACCATGAATACGGAAATGCTGGTCGCCCGGGGAAAATACCTTACAGCTTTCACACTCCCATCTCAGAGGACAGTACGGCTTTACCCCCAGACCGCTTCGTAGTACGGGGTTTTACTTCTCTTGGTCTGACTGCTCCCTTTGGCCTTCCTGGCATGGTTGCATCTTGTGGAACGAATTTCCAGCCAGTGTAGTCCGTGGGATCATTGCAGCACTCAAGCCCGACCATCACGCGAGGACACATCCATCAATAAACTAACGAACCACCAACGCTTCGTGTCACGTTTCTTCATCCAGTAACTGATAAATGATCATCACAGAAAGTATTCACATTGTGTCGAATTATCATACCCAGCGACGCACTGATGATTCCTCTTTGTTTGATGACGAAACTTATACAAGTTAATTGACAACTTTGACGAAGAGACCAACGACCACATGATCAACAACCAATAAAGCTTTCCTTACTTTTTAGAACTTCTGGTAATCACCTTGGGCAATGACACAAGCTTTGTCGTCATTTGGTCCTTCCAATAAGCATCGGGAGGGTAGGGTCTAATCCTCCCAAAATCGCTGCATGTTGCTCAGTTGGGCCCACTTACCAGCACACATCATGCTTTTGTTTCCGTAATCACCGATTACCCAGTATTTCAGGCAGATTTTTCCCCGCATTGGTTGTGTCTCCAATCATAATTTCTATATGTGACTATGGAATAAACTGCAATGGACCAACTATTGCGCTCCCTTGACAAATTCCCTTGCTGCAGAACAGAGCATCTCTTAATGGCATTGTTTAATAAAAAAAGGCACAAATCAACCAAATCGGTCGGTCTTTGGCGGAATTTGGCCCCAGTACAGTGGCATAAATTGAACCACTCGCTATGAGCTCACGTAATTTTGTGACTCGCAATAAGTCGACAAACTGGAGGCTCAGGTGCGTTTCTCTTGTTGTTGATCAGCTGATCTGCTTGCCGATGTTGGGGCGAGATGGCTCGATTGGCTAGAGCGCGAATTTACTGACCAGAAGGTTTGTGGTTCGAACCCGAACTCTGCCTCTCGACTCCTCCTGTCTAGGCTTGGGCAACCTTCGGTTGGCATGGCAGTTAGACGCCGGAAGGGGGCTAAGGCTGAACGATTACGGATGTTGGTAGTTAGCTTGCAAACGCTTTTTCAACAATCAAGGATATGTCACCCGCGCACTGCTAGTTTCTCCTCGATTGTTTGGAAGCTAGTTACCAAGCTTGGAAGCTCAGGTTACTGAAAATAGTCCCAGAATGCCTGGAACCCACAGAGACTCTCAAACCCCACCAAAATCACAGTAGAGAAGCCACCAAGTATGCAGGCCAAAAAACCAGCTTCCGATCGAACGTTCAAGCAGTCAATCAATTCAGCAACAGCCGATGATGATGGGTGCTCAAAGCATTTCATAGAAGCGCAGTCGTTGGTGATGGGTGTTCAACAGATGCCGATCAAAAGTGGTCTTCAAATACTACAAGGCTCCTTGTAGCTTTTGTACTCGCTCGTTCCCAATAAAGCTGTTCTGTTTCTTGTCGACGAGTCTTTTCTACCCTAAGGCACCGCAGCGGGAACAGAGGTTAGCTAAAACAAAATATACTGCCATCTGACCAATAGCCAGTGATTAAACAAAGATTCATCTGCATTCGTCCATCTACCTTTGAATGCGAGCAGACGGCACTCGTCTCAAGGTGGACTGGTGCCAATAGGCAACCGAGAGATTCTTCGCGATTCAGCTTACGTTTGAAAAGTGATCGCTTTTATAAGAGTAGTTCGGTACGATTAGATTTATCTATACAAGTAAAAGACCTTGTGATTTCGGACCGCGTCACGCCAGTATGATTTGTTGATTACTTTATTAATGTATTCATTATTTGCTTATGTGACCCACTAACGCTGCTATCGTCTGAAAACGGACAGTTTTTCTTAACTCAGACGATTCCAAGCGGTTTTGGTGGGTTATCCATACCTATAGGGATGATTGCACCTTTCAGTTACCATAGGTATCTTATCCATTTTCCTCATCTGATTGTGTTTTTAGTCAAAAGAACATGAAGAAGCCAAGTGTAATATGCGGACTTTCCTTGGACCTGCCTTTGGGATTGGCATTTCAGTTGTCATTTTGGCCATCATACTTGTCCTGGAGAACACCGGCACTGTGATTGATCGATTCCGGAACATCATTCATCTAACCGAATTCAGTCTTATACAATTTACTGCCTTGATCTTGAGTATTGCCGGTCTAGTTGTAATCCGGAATCTCAAGTTCTCGGTTAACTTTGCGAAGAACAGTTTGGACGAAAAACTTCTTCTGGTCACTTTCTTTTTAAGCCTCAACTTTTTTGTCGTCTGCATTGTCATGTGTATTGTGCTGTTAAGGAATGGCAACCTGAATAGTTCCGAGATGAAATATATGGCGGCTCAATTGGTCGCATTGCTACTCGAACTTACTGAGGTACTCGTACAGACATACTTCATACACGACACGTTCTATCGCTGTTGTCATCATGAGGAGTACCAGCGCAGGAAGCCTGGACGAACGTTGATTGTCCTACTCTCAGCACTGAACTTCTCCTTATGGATGATCTACAGTTTTCAGGTAAGGATATTTCTAATGTATTAACTCTACATTTTATTCAAAACAGTGGCCTGTCATGTGTTTATATATGGGATTTCTAAATGAAACTTAGGGAACTATAGAAAGATGAGCCGTAAAGGCCCTCTTGTGCTCGTCTTTCGTAGTACTAACGATTTTCCTGTGTAATCGTGGCAAATTTAGATGACTGCGAGTGTCTGAATGGCATTCAGTTAGAGTGGGCATCTAACTCCTAGGTCATATACCTCAGTGTTACCGTCAGTTATCAGCAGCTCATCAAAGTTGACATTGTCAGTCTGTCGGGACTGTTCCGAAATCCCATTCCGTCTTTTGATTTCTCAAGAGACTTACCTGAAACCCAGCTGAATCTCTCGTCTACGGTGTTTTTAAGCAACTGAATGTGTCCGTCCTTGATGAAAATAAGGTGGAACTCCTACCAGAAAGAGCATGAATTATCCATGAATGGGTAAGAAGCCGCGAAAACAACCAAAATCTATCGTGTTGGTTAAAGTCTCGTACATTTGTCTTTACCAGTCGTTTAATTGAAATATACATGGTTTTTCGATAAGGGTGACATTCCGGTCCATGTGGTACTTCATTGTTGATATCGCTGGGCCAATTAAATGTCACCAAGATTATGACTAACCCTGCATCTGATTTATCGCATATGATTACTACTCACTTGGTTCGTTATACTAGGTACCAGCGTACCGGTGTATACTACTGGTGAAGTATGCGAGTAGTCTACGCAGCGGAAGGTTTCCCTCCTCTCACCACTATGACAAAGGACAAGCGGGTTTTTTAAATGGTATATTGTTCCCGTCAACATGAAGGACTAACATGTTACGCAATCAGTTGCACACATAAAAAGGTCAGGCAGAGACGGTTTTTTCTTATTCCAAACCAGGAAAATAGGATTCACACCCATTAAAAATAGAAATTCAATCTAGATCGGTCGTTTCGACCTACACTACCTTGTAGATCATTAACCAGAAAGTATAAAAGTATGTGTACCATTTAGTGATCATTTTTCTATGGGCAGCAAACTATACATCAGTGTCAACTGAGGACGACGTTGTCAGCGTTTTGCTCTCGGATCAAAGTCTGCATAATTACCCAATTTTACCTTCTTATCGAAAATCGATACATCAACCTAGATAGTATATTTTGAATTTCCACACTTGATGGTTGTGTATCTAAAGGTAAGGTAAGGTGGTTTTTAAAACCACCTTTCTTTAACTTACCTCACCTCATCTTACCCAACCTTACCGTAATGCGGAGGACCATGACGATTTACCTGAGAAACAATGCTTCATGTAAGCATTGCTACCTCAATGAAAACTGTCGAGTCATTTCAGTTCACGTAAACTTTTGCGAATTTTTAAAATGCTGATTTGCTACGGCAACTGATAAGATAAGTTGACATAGTTGAAAGTCACCATTGAACTATTCAAACACAGGCCAAATCCGAGAGTATTACCCAGGATTAACTAGAAAATTGACCATACAAGGAAATGGAGAACTATGGTACAAAGAAGTTCTGGTGGATAAAGGTCTCTTATTGGAGCGACTTCATGAGGTACAGAGGTGGTACACGAAAGTGACTGGCGAAGAGAGCGGAAAACGTTGTAAAGTAGTTATTGGGTGAAGTTGAAACAAAAGTTTCTCTTACTACGAAGTTAATTGAGACGTCTCTTGTGCGCCTAGAGACGGGGTTTTGTGACCTTATAATAGGACAATAATTCTTGTCCAAGAGTTCCAAAAAAGAGCAAGAGAACTGAAATATGAGGCGGCCTGGTGCAGCACATTCTGCTGCTTGGAAACATCACAAACGAGAGATTCAGTTGGGTTCCAGGTGAGTCTCTCGAAAAAAAGCAAATTAGTTTGCAAGCGAGAAAACATCAAATCCTTTGGGGAAGAACAAAAGCGTTCAAAAGTTTGAGATTAGTATTCGTGAAAGCAGAAAGTGCTCTCATCCCACAAAACACGGGACGCGAGACTGTAAAAAGGATAGCTTGAATTGCTCAAGTGGTTAGAGTGTGAATTTACTGACTGGAAGGTCCGTGTATTGAACCCGACCTCTGCTTCTCGACTTCCCCTGTCTAGGCTTGAGCAACCCGGAAGTATCTCAGCCCTCGTGCTTCCCCCGGGTGGCATGACAGCTAGGCACCGGAAGGGTGTTACCGGTGAACGACTACGTTGAGGAACAACCATGATGATATCGTATGATCACAACTAGCCATTTCACAGCAGTAGTCCTGAGGAGAGGCTGACTGAAAATACCGGAGTTGATGGTTACCGAATGAGTCTAGTCTATTAAGAAAACATGCAAGGATGTCACACCAACTGAAACATGAGGTAGCCTTTTTGCAGCAAATAGAAGAATATGGTGAACGAGACAGCTGAGTCTATCGTTGACAGCAGCCCAATTTGTAAATGAATAATGAACTCCGTGAGAACAAATTCTTCGAATTTCAGGACGTTGCGGGAGAGGCGTCACTTGCCTGATCAACTGTGCAGTTTGTATCTCAGATTTTGTTCCAGACACATGATTGCTACAGCCGATCACAGTCATCTCCGTACTTCCAATGAATGAGGAACTCAGGGAAGGACGTGTACCCTGCATACACACAAGAAACAAATGGGAAAAAGTAGCAACCTTGGGGCACCTCTAATAATCGACGATCGACAAGAAACGGATCAACCAAGCTCGTTAATTGTCTGTGCTTTGTGTAGTTCTCAGATTCGGTTCACTCGTTGCCATTGCAACAATCATCAGCGTATTCAATGGACAACAGGCATTAGGTTTTGTATCTGTTTCTGGAGTGACGTAGGGAACCATATATGCAACAGGGTTTACTATGAATCGTAATTGACAGTGCGCAAAGTGGTGTGACCCTTGGCCAAACAGGGTACCTTGCCCTCGATTCAGGTGCACTCATTCCGAAAACCATAGAACAACAGAGAGGGAAGCAACTGGATGAGAACTTTGTCTGTCGTTCTTTCCAGTCTTATCTTAGCCACTCGCCAACAAGTGTAGGTTAGCTGACGCTATCGAAACACTGATTAGCAAGCGTATTCGGTGATCGGAACACACTCTTTGCTCAGCTTGAATGGAATCATGTTTCTTTTGCATTTCTGTCCGTGAAGATACCTGTTGTTGGTAATGACAAGTTTGACAGGCTTACAGTGTCGCAGTTGAGTTTACGGAGGTCAACGCCAGAAGTACAAATGTTTGATTCTACGCAACCCAACTGCTTCAGGTCTCGCCACATTTTATTGCGGTTTCTACTACCGTGAACCCTATTTATGCATGTGCTGTAGTGATTTGCTTTCACTTTGCTTACTAGCGTAAAATGGAACCTTTGACTGAACATGATCTTGACCTCTTCTTACAATTTCGTCAATTTTTGTCTTCGGCATCAAGAATGAGAGATTGCCTGTGTAGATTTGAATGTTTTCAACAGAACAAATGGTGAGTGTCAGGTGGTGGAAATAAGCCGGAGGATAAGGGTCGTAAAAACTGAAAAAATCGATGATGGAAACCACGTCCGCCAGAAACATCCCTTTCAACATTTGGTCTTGATTGGACGTAATGCTTTGAATCACCTCTGCCAGGAAAAATTCGACCAAACTGTTGTGGTGTTGGTGCGATAATAATAAAACTCTTCCAAGCAACGAAAATTATTCCGCGCGCCATGCGTTGCTAAAACAGCCCACAAAAGCGGTGCTACATCTAATGTATGACTAGGTGTTTCTCTTTATATACCCGCGCTGATTTGTGCGCAAACACAAAACCCGAGTTTGTCGGGTTTTTGTGTATTTCACCGGCGCCCTGACATCTTCACTTAGCGGTCGGTTGCCAGAAAGAATTTGTCGATTCCAACTTTTGACATGATCAGTTGGAGAGCAATGGTGCTCCAATGTTCCCAGTGCGAGTACGCAGTAAAATATCTCGATAAGTAGAAGACTCTGAACGCCTCACAGGTTTTTTCCTATTAAATCCCTCTCAACTTGAGGGGCATTTTGTAATCATGGTGACTGAAACAACACAGCATCCTAAAGCATCTTATTTTAACGTCCCTGGAGAACTAGTTGAGTTCGTTAGAAATCTGGCAACAATAACTGTTAGAAATGCTCCGGAATGCTGGTAGCCCGAGTGCTTTTAATGGTAGTTGGTCAGGTAGCTGTTGGTCGATATGTCGCACATGACAAATAGCTTCCGATCGAAGAGACATGATCAGTGCCGGATTATGATTCGAATACTCGTGATGTCTCCTTGGTTGAAGACAAAATGCTTGCAAGTTAATTCCCAAGCTCAGCGAGCAGATCAACGGCCACCGACAATAAATTGTAAACGGATGATGGGCTGGAATCTGTTTTTGGACTGGCATGTCACACCAAACAAGGCCGATGGAAGCCTGGGCACCTGCCGATGTAACATGCGGTTTCTGGTGAGCCGCATGTGCGACCAATTGCCCGATCTGAACCAGAAGGAATAAGACTGGGGAATGAACGGCGGAGGATTCTAAAGCCATCAGCATGCCCAACCAGTTGCACAAGATTGTCATATGTGGACAGCTGAACAACGGGATTACACAATACATGCGAAAGGTAGCCCGCACCCCTCACAAGATATACACATACGGCTAGTTAGTGTTAACCATTATACAATTCGGTCTGTGTACCTCTGATCACAGAATCACCACTGGAACTGTTATAGGCTTCACCATCCGGAGTTAGAGCGGGTAATTTCGAAACATAGAGAATCACGATGCAACCAGTGGCAGTATAACGGAAGCTCACGTACGATTGTACTATCCGAAATGAATACAATCAGTGGTAAACCATTCGTGTCTCCCGGGCACTCAACCAAACTACCCTCACCTATTGGTAAATACGGCTTGACAAACACCTATTAGGCGTGTTTTACTTTGTCCCAGGTAGACATCAACAAACGAGTGAACTGGAGTACAGTGCATGCACTTGTTTTCACAGTGCGAAAGCTGTACTTGCCACTGTAGGGGGAATTCCTCATCCCAGTTTTGTATTGCCTGGACTTGTGGAAACACACAGGCGAACGATTTAATTAGATATCTTTAAGGAAGTTAGCCGTTAACAGTTACAACAAATTGCTCCGGTTGTGTAGGTTTTCTGTAGGAGTGGGTTGTGTGCCCGAGTGGACGAAACTAAAGTAGCACCTCCAATAAGTCTTGAAGCACTATAATTCCCGGATGTTGATAACAAACGCTGTTCATATTACGTACATTAAGCATACATAGATTTCTGATCAAGCGTTTTACCGTGCGAAGCATTCCCCGTGAGGCAACCAGTACTTAGACCCGAAGAACCGATTCCATCTCTCAGGATTCGCTGTATGACCTCAGCCCTGCCTGGAACACCGTAGCTGCAGTAGCTTTCTGGCAAGTTACGAACCTTTTACTACCTGCTGTGGCAGCAGGCAGTAGTGTCTACTTGCGGTGTCAATCGAAGGAAGTGTGGTGGCCGAGATACTTCCAAATTGCCCAAGCTTGTACGTGGGCAGTCGAGAAGGAGAGGTTGCGTTCGAACCAAAGACTTTCTGTTTAATAATTTCGCGTCTCAGTCATTGAGCTATCTAAAGCTTTTCCCCATTTAAAGGATGATGAAAGTATTAATTGCTCACGTGACTTTTGTCTGTTTCCATTCCCTAAATTCTCTCAGGTTAAGCACAATGACATTCTATTCAGCAAAACTGGTTACCTGCTTGAAAAACTGAAACTCCAAGGACAGCAAATATTTGTGACCGTTATGTTGCCGATGGTGATGTTGTTCCGCTATCACAGCTCCGTTTGCCTGGCAATTTCATTTGTGCGCACCTACGAGGACGAAGTGACACGGTATGAGAGCATGTTACGTTGGGTAAAACAAGGAACGACCAAAGATTTCCTCCAGAATTGTCATTACTCTTTGGTTAACACATGGCAAGAAGATGATCACAAAGCAGGTCAGGGTGGAATCCAGGCTGGACGACATCGGTCTGCCTCTCATCCGGTCACGGTTCCCAATCGAATCCAAGTTGAGAGTCTTAGTACAAGCGACAAGCGATCCGGGTCCGATGACAGTTCTCTGCGACCATTGCCAGAACACTTGAATCAAACCTTGCAGAACAAAGAACGCACTAGACGAGATACCAGAATTAATTTGGAAATGGCTCGGATACGAGTTGCAGCTAGTGAGGAGGGACACCGAATGATGGAACGAAAGCTACAGCAACAGAAAATGCGGTCCAAACCGTTTGTCAAGAGTGTTGTGGACGTACTCGAGGGGAAGATTGGCCGTCAACCAGCTAAATTTCGTGTAGGGCCGGGAACTTACGAGTTGCCGAAAGCAATGTCAAATCAGGAACTTGGAACACACGTGGAAACTTCACCGAGCCCGGACACGGCATCAGAACGACGTGAGACAAATGGGACAAAAGTAAAGACGCCGTAGATATTTTCAACATCTATGCACGCGAACATCACAAGTGCCTTAAGTTCACGCTCAACTTCTCATCAGACACAATTATTACTTCAGCTTTTTTAAAGAACTACAAAAAGATCTCAAAACTCGATGTGAATAGCCTGAACAGATCAATTTCAGGTTCACCTTATCTTTTATTATCTATGCAAACATGGCCACATCCACAAACATTCGTTATTTGATTCGCCACTCAGTTCTACGTAACTTTATTTCTACAATGTGATATTTGTGTCTTTTGATCGACCATGGGGAAACCAACATGGGGCTGCATAACCTTCACCGGAAGTGGTGAGACAACGCTGAGTTCATCCGTGCTGAGTCCGGTTGATTGGTTCTGGCTTCCATGGTCCTTTGTTTGTGTAGATGCGATAGCTTGCCTCATGCGCGAGGTGCGATCGGAGAACGGGTTTGTTAGGCAATAGGAGTAGTGCTATTAACCAAGTGAATACTCGGTGACCGTAAGCAACGCTACGTCCTAGAGTCCCATTTATGTATGCAGTACTTACGTTGACCGGTTCTGCGTATACTTGATGCGGACAAGATTGATTCTAACGAGTAGCACTGAATGTCCTTTGATAACGCTTTTCTGCTATTTCCTCTAGACTGAGCCATGTCTCGTAAAAATTAGTTGTCCAACGCTTGACTTCGCGGTTTTATCTCACGCCAGGATACAACTACTTTCCGACGAATGTATCAGTCGTAGGCGTGCCGTTGTACCCTCGGTGTGCAACCAGTGTGATGCGGGAAGGTGCTGCATCTGCCCCACATCAAAGCGACGCCAAGAATCATCCATTCCATTGGCGTCCATCCTGCGTCCCACAGGGCAAAAGGCTTCTTTTATCATTCTTCACTGAGACATCCTGTCGTGGTGACTGACTGACAATCAAGTGCCAGAGATACTGATCGTCCTTGATACGAAATTCCTCATAGCACACAGTTTCTTGAAAAAATGGCCAGTTTAGTAGACACTGATGAGAACCACATTGAATTGGCAACAACACAAGTGTTAGGAATATCCAGTGCTACTTGCACTTATATACACACCTCAACTTCAAATAGAACTTTGGAAACTTTTGTGAAACTAGATGAGTGTCGTTTTAGGGAACTTTTAAACCGTCGACTTCCCAGTTACTTCAATGATAAACATGCTTGAACTGTACAGAACAGCGATGGATTTCAAATGGTCGCTTTCCTTTTACAACAGCTGAGAGGAGAAACTTTGTTGTGAATCACCACGCTTCCAAATAACTTGATTTGGCTGTTCTGGATTGTTCACTGAGTACAAGCATTGTACACAGGGGAAGGCAGTCCTTAAGTAAGAGGCTAAAAACATTCAACAAATATTCGTAAGGGACAGTGGGAAATAGGGAGGTTGTCAGCCACTGTGTCTTGAAAATATCATCACAGAGAATGCAACCTGGTGACGTTTTTATTTTTTCTTCGGCCCTGATATTTTGCCACCGTCTTGTGAATGTTTCTTTCGTAGAGAGCCGCGACCTCCAGGTCTCTGAATTCGTAATTCATCCAAGATTAAGTTGGTTTAAGTGTGACAGTGATAACGTTGTGGAAGATCCCATGCATCTGATAATCAGAATAGAATTCTTTTCGCTGAAGTTTTTATCTTAACACGGACAGCTAAACACTGGATAGTCTTCAATTCCTACTGAAATCAAGATCACTATGTACGCTTTGGTTCGAAAACGCGTATGCCTTAGCCACTTGGCTAGTATTGTGTAATGTCTAGATTTGTGGGAATGTACTCGGTTTTGTGAAATGCATGTTCACTGACGTAACATACTACTCATAAGGTTTCTGAAAACTCTGATAGTCCAGCAAACGCTTCCGCACTCCTTGAAACTCATGTTGTAGGAGCAGTCTCCGAGCTTCCATCAACTTTACGTTCCACTTTAATCCATTAGAAAACGAGAGATTCGTGTGGATTTATCTCAGAGAAACCGAGTTAATGTACAAATCAGAATATTTGCATGGTAGCGTATTACTCGTTTGTTCCGGTAGCCCAGTTGGTTTCATGAGAGTTGAGATCTAGTTCGTGGGCGGGCCATTTAAAAGTCGATTGGCTGGAAGTATCGACCATAACTGCGTCAGCAAGACATCATGGATTCCAACCGGGTCTTCAGTTCTGATTGTGAATTCATATCGATGAATATCGATCACGTGAAATCGAGCACTTCTGCCTTGGTGTTTCTGACCCCGTTTCGAGCATTATATCAAACACGTTTGTGGGCGATACAGTTTTTGCTATCTCATTCCGTCTCATTATGAATTGCTTCAATCTTACGGGGCAACAGGGCGAGGATTTACGTGACTGAGGTGCTCAAGTCGATCCCTTTGGTGGTATGTTTGCTGCATGGATTTCGGTAGAGCATTTTGGATCGGGAGAAAACGTGCAATATGTTGCACTTTGACACTTCAATGCGAGCTCAATAAATCTCCCGCGATTCGACATTTGCTTACCTAATGAAATCAATCATGCTTTTACAAACGGCCATCAAATTTTAAATCATCTAAGAAAAATCATTCACTAACAGTGCACTTAAATTTACTGTGGTTAGATGATTCTAAACACGCCTGAACCATAACCAGCTCAATGCAACGCGCAGAATTTCGTTTCATTACGCAGCACTTACATGTGGTTCCTTTCCACCCCCAACCCCGTTTTCTACCGTTTTAGTGTCGCATCAACAATCCTAGCTATCATCATGAGTAGTACATTACAAAGACATACATTGTATCGCGATATCTGGAATATCGTAGCGACTGAAACATTAGGCGGCCTGGTGCAGCACATTCAGTTGCCTGAGAACATCACAAACGATAGATTCAGCTGGGTTCCAGGTGGGTCTCTCGAAAAACCAAATTAGTTTGCAAATGAGTGTATATTCGCCTATTTCGAGCAATTTGTTTCAAGTAGACCATAAGGTTGACGGAAGCCCGGGGACTGCGCCTACCTGATGAGCCCCAAGAAGGGTGAAACCGGTCGTGGGCTGTCGATGGATTTTAAGCAACCTTATGAGTAGTACATTACAAAAACCCTAACTAGCTTTGTGTGATTCATTAGTCGAAGTAGCACTGATTTCTGACCGAAATATCAAGTCATGCAACTGCTCTCGTTTGATCTCATCGTTGAAGAAGTCGACTTTGTGTATTTTTGGAAACGACTGATCTGTCCGGAACCGCCAGGAAGTATGTGCGCCTCATCTTTAGATACCTCGGTCCTTAACTCACCGCTCAGCAGATGCGCAATGAGTTGACAGTTTTTCCAAATGCCTGTGGAAAAACAACACACTCGTCAAAACTGACTGCCACGAGCCCTCGCGCACTCATTAGCCAACGCGAAAACTTCGCAGTTTTGAGCAGGCATTTACTGCGTGGGTGGTATTTCAATCGTAGGCGATCGAAAGCTCGATTTCTTAGATGTGCTGGCGTACATTATTTTGTCGTGCAATGTTGTCGAGGTAGTGAAGAGCGTACTTGTAGGCAATGATGGACCGAATTATTATGACTGTTATTGGAAAACCTCACGAGCTTTACTTTAACAGTTGGTAGTACTTTCACCAGCAGTCCATGTAGAAGATTCACTTACAAGTTCAGCACATGGTCAGCGTGACGGTGTTGATACGGACCGTCTTTAAGGCCGTACAGTGGCTGACATACTCATCTATTAGAGAAAGCCCAGTAGTTGATCATATTACGAGTACCAAACTGTCAACAAATTGCTGCTGAAGAAAGCTAGTTTATTTATCGACTTCCTAGTTTATCAATGTCTTACGAGATTTCGCACTCTTAGGCATTCGCTTCCAAAAATTTTCGAATAGCACAATCTCGCACTGGCTACGTTAAAACAATATGGACTGACCGGAACATTCCCTTTTCAAGTTTTGTTTGGTCAAGACTAATCCACTCCACCGTACAATAAAGAATTGTTATTTTTTGACATCACACTACTTATGTGATGGTGCATGCTCTGGTGAGGCATGCGAGTTGTCTATGGTTCGATGTCCAAGCTTTGCCCCCACATCTGATGGAAAACGAAGTTTGTAGAACCGCTTTACAGTGTTTGTTTGTTATTGTGTACTGTTCGATGAGTATTCAGAAAAGTTCAGGAGGAGGCGTGAGAATGTTCAGTTTTTAAAGACTATGCACATGAGATGTTTACTCACCTGTCCAACGATTGCTTAGTTCAGGTTTGCCACCAAAAGACTCCAAAGCTAAGAGCTTTCATCGTTTCATCCATTGTCAGTTTATCAATTTCTAATGCTCAGCGTTAATGTGATGCCCCGAGTATCCCTTTTATTCCACTTGAACCCAGATTGTGCGCAAATGGCAAAATACATTCACTAATCAAACAAACCGTACTAGAGAAAAGCCATTACCTAAAAACAGCCTGAAAAACCCAACAATAACCCGATTATTACCGCCAAGCGGAAGAAATTTTTTCTTGAAACCGCCATTTGATTGTGGCCATACAGAACTAACCCTAACCCAGTCATCTTCAGCTCTCAGACTTTAAAACTCGACGAAAGTATTTCTGCAGCTCACGTTACCAACTAGTTCACTCTATTGGCTGGTTTTGTTTCCAGGATTGTTCTTAGGCATCTTTGATCGAAAGTCTGTAGACTCCGTATACCCTAACAATACACTGACAACGGCTAGCAAACATATGAGAGAAGCTAACGAACAGAAGCTCGATAAAACCATGCCAGTTGGTTCTAAGCCTTGAGATATGCTTCGAACCGAAGCACACTGTGATGTCTCTATCATGTTCTTTAATTGGTCACTGAGCAGAATGTGAGAGCCGAGGAATTTGAGTGTTCTGACAGGTTTTGGTAGATGTTCAGGAAAGTGCTACCACTGGTTCAGAAAACGACAGACTGAAGACGAACACTTGTTTCCGGTCCAAGCAAAGCGGTGATTTCGCCAGGTTTGACGGGTTATTGCCTAGCAGAACGATCTGGCCATCAAACTAGATGTGGGAAAACAGAATCCTACTAGAGCTACGCATCCTAATTAGACCCACGAGCACAATTCAAGAGACTCGGGGGCGCACTTAAAGAGATCCAGTGATAGTGGATTCCCGTGCCATACGCAAAACGAAGTCGCCAGTCTTCGTCACTTATCCGAAGGAGTGAGTTGGTCGCGGTGTGGTCTGACGCAATCGATTCGCCGATCTTG